GCTGAGCAGAGGCTAAATGCAAGCCCCACCCATCTCTCAGCCAGGGACCCTTGGTTGGTGAATACACTGTACAACTGCACCACGACTCCAGGACTCAGCGCTCTCGCTCTACTCCCCCTTCCTCTTCCTGGGGGCTTTGGAAACAAAAGCTTGGCAGAGACATTGGCAGCCAAAGGCTTCTCTGGCCCATTTCCCTCCCCTGAGGCAGTGGCAGTGAGCCAACCACTGCTTGAAGTGGGAAGGAAAATGGAAAATACAGGGGAAAAAATCTGATTCTGCCACACTCATGTAGTGACAGCTGACCAGCGTCGACTGCTGGCTCCGAGCCTGGCTCTCTCTCTTAAGCACTTTTTAGGCTGTCTTATCTCATCTTCTCGAACTTCCTTTGGGATTGGTTTGAGGCTTGGAAGTTAGGTGACTTGCCCGACACAGTAAGAGGCAGGGCCAGGATTGAAATTGGGCCCTTGTTACTGTGAACATGGCGGGGCAGGGTGGGCGGGGTCTCCTGTGGATCACCAGCCCGCGTGGTGGTGGGTGTGCCCTCCTGGTTTTGAACACCTTACACGTGGAATCACGTGCATGCTTTGGGGTCTGGCTTGTCTGGGGGCTGTGCTTCATCCACACTGTTGTGGATTGTGGTTGTGTTTTTTTTTTTTTTTTGAGGAAGATCAGCCCTGAGCTAACATCTGTGCTAATCCTCCTCTTTTTGCTGACTAAGACCGGCTCTGAGCTAACATCTATTGCCAATCCTCCTCCTTTTTCTCTCCAAAACCCCAGTAGATAGTTGTATGTCATAGTTGCACATCCTCCTAGTTGCTGTATGTGGGACGCCGCCCCAGTAAGGCCTGACAAACAGTGCGTTGGTGTGCGCCCGGGATCCGAACCCAGGCTGCCAGCAGCAGAGCACGCACGCTTAACCGCTAAGCCACAGGGCCGGCCCCGTGTGTTCTTTTTTATCGTCGTGTAGTGTTCCTCTGTGAATATGCCATAAAATCTTTTTTAAATCTTTTTTCCAGGCCGGCCTGGTGGCGTAGTGGTTAAGTTTGCACTTTGGTGGCCTGGGGTTTGCAGGTTTGAATCCTGGGTGTGGACTGACACACCGCGCATCAACAAAACAGAGGAAGATGGGCACAGATGTTAGTTCAGAGCCAATCTTCCTCAGCAAAAAAGAGGAAGATTGGCAACAGATGTTAGCTCAGGGCCAATCCTCCTCACCAAAAAAAAAAAAGTTAAGTAGAGACATTGAAGATATAAAAAATCTTTTTTCCTATACATGGACATTTGGGTCATTTCCAGTTTGGAGCTCTTAGAATAAAGTTGCTGGGGATGTTTCTGTCCATGTCTTCTGGTGGACATAAGCTCACATTTCACTTGGGTGTATACCCAGGTAAGGAATTGCTTGGTCATAGGATATTCATACATTTAGGTTTTGTAAATGCTGCCAAACCAATATGGCTGTATCAATGTCTGAGAGTTCCAGGTGCCACATCCTCAGCAAACTTGGTATTGTTATGTTAGTTGTGTTGTTATGTGAGTCTTTTTAATTTTAGCCATTCCTGGGGGGGGGATGGGGACCATGATGAACTATTCTTGACATGAAACTGCAAGGCAATGTCCCAGTGGTGAGGACCAGAGCTTCCAAGGGGGCACGAGTCTGTCTGCTGTGATACAGAAGACAGTCACTGGGCTCAGGGGGAGAATGGAGATGGCAGGGAAGCCCACCACACTCCACAGTGGGCAGAGGGCAGAGATGAGACAGCCATAAATAAAATGCTAGGCTAATGGCGACATTCCTGGAGGATTTTGTCATTAGCTATGAAGAGACCAGTGATGACATTATTTATACACACACACATGCAGGGGGTGGTATTTGAAATATTCGGCAGCTAAAACGATAGGGGCACCGCGCAATCAGCAGAAGCGCTCTCCTGGAGAGCATGCACGTGTGTACTGGCTAGAAGCTCAGCCCTGTTCGTAGGTCACGACCTTAACGGTTAAATAATGGAGCCAAGAAACCTGAGCAGGGCCTGTTTGTCTACGGCTAGAATACAGCACATCGAGATGTCGCCCATCAGGCCTAGACCTGCTCATGATGGCTTGGTATTAAAGTCAGCATAAAAATACTGCAAAGCAGGGATGGGGTGGGCCCCACAGGCTGAGCGGTTAAGTGCGTGTGATCCCAGGTTCGGACCCGGGCACGCACCAACGCGCTGCTTCTCCGGCCATGCTGAGGCCGCGTCCCACATACAGCAACTAGAAGGATGTGCAGCTATGACACACAACTATCTACTGGGGCTTTGGGGAAAAAAACGAGGAGGATTGGCAATAGATCTTAGCTCAGGGCCCGTCTTCCTCAGCAAAAAGAGGAGGATTGGCATGGATGTTAGCTCAGGGCTGATCTTCTGCACAAAGAAAAACAAAAAAATACTGAAAAGCGGGGAATAACTCGTTTCCAAGAAATACAAATTGGAGTTTGTGATAAACTAAAGGAACATACAGAGGCAGAAAACATTTGGTTTTACCAAAATGTGAAGACACACCTCCTCTGCATTTCAGCAACTGCCCAGAGCGCACACATGCACGGGAGGGCGAAGGAAGGGGAGACCAAGGGAGCCAGAGACAGGCCAGAGAGTTCAAAACAGCACCAGGACCCTCTGGAGCACAGCGGTTTTAAATTCCGTGGCCTTTTAAACCCCAGGTTGCTCAAGAACCACACGTTTCTTTAAAAGTCACACTCTGATCGGTAGGGTTGCAAATCAGCAGTGCAATGCGGGGCGCCCAGTTAGATGTGAATTTCAGCAACGACTTTAAACACAAGTGCGTCCCCAGCACGCCTCGGGGTATTCAGAGGTGCTCCGTCCTTCCCGAGACCCGCCCCCGCACGGCCACGGTGGAGCCGACCCACCTCTCCCTCTCCTTTCAGGGAACAGAGGCCCTGGCTGGCGCGCCCCGCGGCCCCGCAGGCCCACCCGTCGGAGACGGTGAGTGGGCTTTCCCGGCTCGGGGGGAGGGTGGCTTCCAAGACCCACGCCCGCCTGCGCCAGGCCGACAGCAGGACGACGGCGCCAGGGATCCCCTGCGCAGTGGCCGACCAGCGCTCCGCCTCAGGCCCACCCGGCCCTGCTGACCCGCTGACCCGCTGACCCGCGACGCTGATGCCCGTGCCGCCAGCGGCCAATCAGCCGCCAGCTAAGTGCACATACCTAGAAGGCAGCTTCTGATTGGCTAGGCTCAGACCAGTCAGCGTGGCGGGGCGGGGCGCGTAGAAGGGCTGTCGGGCCGGAAGGGCCCGGCCTGGGTGGGGGTGGGCGGAAGGGGAGGGGCCTCAGGGGCCTGGGCCCTGCGGGGGTGTGAGAGCGGTGTTCCGCGGGCGGGTGACAGGGCTGGGAGACAGTCCTCGCCTTTGTCCCTGTCGTCACTATGCTCATCGTTACCTCCATCCCCACGGCTTCATCTGAGCCGCGGGGGGCACTTCCGGGAACCCTCGGGTGTCCGGTTTATCTGTCAGCGCGCACTTGCGCTCCCAGCGCGTCGTGACGGGCAAGTGCGTCCCCGAGTCCTGCACGGGGCTGGGCCGCGGACACCACACCTTGGGTAGCCTCTGAACCCCCGAGTCACCTGAGGTAGCCTCTGAATCCCCGAGTCACCTGGGGGAGCCTCTGAACCCTCGAGTCACCTGGAGGAGCCCCAGTGCCCCCAAGTCACGCGGTCCACCCTGCAGTAGCTTGTACCACATAGGCAGGAGAGAGACCACACCTACATCGACCTAAGCACAAAAGGGCATTTTATTGTTTCACTAACGGAGAATGTTAGGGGTAGGTCTTCAGGCATGGGTGTATCCAGATGCTCAAGGACTGTGGTCAAGGACTGTCTCCATCTCGCAGCTTCACTTTCCTGCGTGCTGACTTCCCTCCTGGAGGCAAGATGACCACCAAGACCTCTGGAGGCCTACAACTGCTACAGAAGAGGAGATTCTCGTTCCCCGTAATTTCAGCACAGAGCCCCAGAATGAGTTTCACTGGGCCGATTTGGGTTATGACACCATTCTGAACCGATGTCTGAGATGAGCTGGGCCTCACCTTCTGGCTGGGGAGTGGGCGATTCTGGGCCATTTGAAGTCAGATGACTGAGATGGGTGTGTCCCATCCTCTCCCTGCCAGGAAACAGCAAAGCTGTCATAACTGTTTTCAGGCATCAACTGGGAGAGTTGAGCTCAATGAACTGAAGCTTGTGCTGTAATAAAATAACAATAATAATGATTATTATGATAACAGTGAAACACAAAAACACTTGTACCACTCTTCTGGTTTCCATGTTACAAAGCAGTTTGACACATCACTGTCAGGGAAACCAGGCTTTGCTTGGTGTTGGATTTATGCCCATTGGACACTCACCATATGGCCAACATTCTGGCATTTTGTTGGGGGGGAGAATGGGGAAGACTAACATACAGTCTGTTTAGCCCCAAATGTTTTGTCATCTGAGAGTCAAGTACCCAGGTTTTTATCCTGGAAGGAGTTTCATTAAATGCACAGCTTTAAGAATATTTTCCTTTAGTATTCCAAGTAAGCTCAGGGTGTCTGATAAAGCATCATAGATGTTGTAGTTGGCGACTCCACGTCTTGGAAGGATCTCATCAGGTTCGAAAACGTTCCTGAATGGCCTAGCATCTTTCCTGAAGGGCCTAGCACAAGTTTAGCTGGAGTACCCCTGAAGCAAGTAGGTTTGGGAATGTAGGATTCCACAATAGTCTGACATCTGGGAAACCCCAGACATTAGCACATGAATGTGCACACATCTGCTTCTTTTGTCACCCCCTGCCTCCTCTTAGGCTCAGAAGGATGACCATTTCCACCCTTGGGGTTTAATAATATGGGTCAGTTCCAAGAAGGCTGGCCCAGGCCCTCACCTTAGCACCTCTGCCCCCAATTTACACAAATCTTGAAACTTTCTAAGTCTTCCCGTTCTTCTTTTCTAGGAAGAGCACATTTAAAACCTTTGGGAAGGAAGTGTGCCTCACAGATCATGTGGTAAGGAAAACAAACCCTCCGTTGCTTTGCCCCAACACACCCCTCTGGGATGGGGAGAGCAGAGAATGTGGGTCCAGCAGTGTCTCATGAGAGGCTCTATCAGACATGGGAGTCCATGGTTGCAGGGGCCATCACTGAGCCCCCAAAATCTCTATATAGTGTCACCCACTGCCTCCGCCCCCCCCCCTCCCCAGGTCCTCATGACACCTCGAGACAGGGATTCCGGAGGCCCGGGAGAACCAGTGTCCCTGCTGTGAGCATCAGCTTCTTCATCTGCCCCTGGAGAGGACAACTGCCTCTCCTTCCTGCCTGTGGGTGTGATGAGGACACATTGGATGGATGTGGAAGCCCTGTATGTGGATTGACACAGATAACCACAAAAAAGGCAAACATGTCCCCACTAGAGTTGGTTATACTTCCCGATTTTCAGAGGGGGAACCCGAGACTTGATCACGATAATGTGGCTGTAATTGTCACACCTGGTCTGCGTACTCTAGTGGTCCCCCTCTAAATGACTTTGGAGGTTCTCCGGGCAGCCGTGATAGCCTGCCTTTCTCAGCAGCAGGAGCTGAGGCCCCTACCCCTGCCCCTGGATGCCCTGTCTCAACCCTGGCTCCCTCTGAGCATTGATTTAGTATTCCAAAGGGTTCCTTGGCTAGCATTGTAAATGCAGCATCACCTTCAATTCTGTCTTTTCTGGCTTTTACTCAGATGTGCCCTGTCCCCAGCACTGTTCACCAAGAGGCCGTCTGCTGTGAGTGCCAGGCCAAATTCTGGGGCTGCCTGCCGGTGCCCAGGGCTGAGGCGGTGCTGCCGTACTGGGTCCCTCTGTCCCTGAGACCCCGAAAGCAGGTATGTGACCTGAACCAGGGGTTCTTTACCTAGGTCCAGGGTGAACTTTAGGGGACCAGACACCCCTCAGAGTCATAAGTATTATATGAATGATATTTTAAAATTTCTGGGAGACAGTTTATGTGTTTTTTTAAACAGATTTTTAAAAAAATCAGATTTATGGAGATATGATTGACATGATAAACTGCACATATATAAAGTGTACAGTTTGATAAGTCTTGATATATGTATACACCCATGAAACCATCACCACAGTTGAACACTAATGTACATCCCCACAACCCTAAAAGGTTTCCTTGTGCCCCTTTGTAACTCCATCCAACCCTCTCTGCCCTGCAGTCCCCAGGCAACCACTCATCTGTTTCTGCCCTATAGATTAGTTTGCATTTTTCTTGAATTTTATATAAATGGGATCATATGGTATTACTCTTTTTGTCTGGCTTCTTTCACTCAGCACGATTATTTTTGAGATTCATCCAACTCGGTTGTGTGCGTTGATAGTTCACTCCTTTTTACTGCTGAGTGATGTTTCATTATATGAATAGATCACAGTTTATCCCTTTATCCAGTGAAGGACATTTGGATCATTTCCAGTTTTGTCTATTAGAAATAAAGCTGCTATGAACGTTTGTGTACAAGTGTTTGTATGAACATGTCTTCATTTTTCTTGGCCAGATACCTAGGAATGGAATTTCTGGATCATATGGTAGGTGTATGTTTAACTTTTTAAGAAACTGTCAACTTTTTCCAAAGTGGTTGTACCATTTTACATTTCCACCAGCAGTGGATAAAGTTCCAGTTCCTCTGCATCCTCACTAACACTTGATTTGGTCAGTCTTTTTAATTTTAGCCATCTTAATAGGTGTGTATCTTATTGTGGTTTTAATTTGTATTTCCATAACGACTAATGATGGTGAGTGTCTCTTCATATGCTTCTGCCATCTGCATATCTTACTTGATATGTGTGTGTTCAAGTATTTTGCCCATTTAAAAAAATTGGGTTTTTTAGTTACTGAGTTTTGAGAGTTTTTTATATATTCTGGATACAAGTTCTTTATAAGATATTCAATTTGCAAATGTTTTCTGCATGTCTTTGGCTTGTCTTTTTTTTTTTTTTTTTGTGAGGAAGATTAGCCCTGAGCTACCATCTGTTGCCAGTCCTCCTCGTTTGGCTAAGGAAGATTGGCCCTGGGCTAACATCCATGCCCATCTTCCTCTACTTTATATGGGACACCCACCACAGCATGGCTTGATAAGCTGTGTGTCAGTCCACGCCTGGGATCCGAACCTGGGAACCCTGGGCCACCAAAGCAGAGCGTGCGAACTTAACTGCTACGCCACTAGACCGGCCCTTTTGGCTTGTCTTTTTATTCTCTGATTAGTATCTTTCAAAGAGCGGACGTTTTAATATATATATACATTTTTTTGGTGAGGAAGATTCACCCTGAGCTAACATCCGCGCCAATCTTCCTCTACTTTGCATGCAGGATGCCTCCTCAGCATGGCTGATGATTGGAGTAGGTCTGTGCCCAGGATCTGAACCCACAAACCTGGGCCGCTGAAGCATAGCACGCGGAACCCCAACCACTTGGCCATGGGGCCAGCCCCCCAGACGTTTTAAATTTTGATCAAGTCCAATTTATCAATTTGATCTTTTCTGGATCTTGCTTAGGTGTGCCTGTCTCCAGCACAGCAATTGATCGTGTTTTCTAAGCATTTCTAAGAAATCTTCACCTAACCCAAGGTCAGAAAGGTTTCTCGTATGTTTTCTTCTAGAAGTTTTATAGTTTGCAGTTTATGTTTAGGTCTGTGGTCCATTTTAAGTTAATTTTTATATATGGCATGAGATATGGATTGAAGTTTATTGTTTCGCATATGGATGTCCCGTTGTTCTAACGTTATGTGTTGTAAAGACCATCCTTTCTCCACTGACTTGCCTCTGCACCTTTGTCAAGAATCTGTTGTCCATATACGTGTGAGTCTGTTTCTGGTCTGTATTCTGCTCTGCTGATCTAACTGTCTGTCTTCATACCAATGCCAATTGTCTTGATTACTGTGGCTTTATAAAAAGTCTGGAAATAGGTAGTGTTAGTTCTCCAATATTGTTTCTCTTTTTCAAAGTTGGTGATTCTAGATTTTTTGCATTTCCATGTGAATTTTCGAATCAGTTTGTCAATTTCTACAAAAAGTTCTACTGGGATTTTGATTTGGATCGTGTATGTAGATCAATTTGAAGAGAATTATCTTAACAATATTGAGTCTTCTGACCCATGAACATGGTAATCTCCGTATTTATTTAGATCTTCATTAATATTTCTCAGCAATATTTTGCAGTTTTTAGTGAACAGGTCTTGCATATGTTTTCTCAGATTTATTCATAAGTATTTCATATTTTTGATGACATTGTTTTTGAACAATTTATGATTGCTCATTGCTAGTATTCATAAATACTGTTGATTTTTGTATTTTGATCTTGTATCCCATAATATTACCAAACTCATTTATTCTAGTAGCTCTTTTTGTAGATTCCATCAGCTTTTCTACATAGATAATCATGTCATCCACAGATAGAAATGGTTTTGTTTGTTCCTTTCCAATATGGATGCCTTTTGTTTATTTTTCTTGCCTGATACACTAGCTGGAACTTGCAGTTTGCTGTTGGATAGAGTGGGGAGACAGACACCCTTGTCTTTCTTCTGATCTTAGAGGACAGCATTCGGGTTTTCATTGTTAAGTATGATGTTAGCTGTAAATTTACATACCTTTTATCAGGCTGAGGAAGTTGCCTTCTGTTCCCAGTTTGCTGAGAGTTTTTACCCATCATGAATGTTGGATTTTGCACGTGTCTATTGCAATCATCATGTGTTTTTTCTTTTTTGGTTTAATATGATGAATTACACTGATTGGTTTTCGAAAGTTAAACCAACCTTTCCTAGCATAAGCCCCATTTAATCATGGTGTACTAGTGCTGGCCTCATAGGATGAGTGGGGAAGTATTCCCTCATTTTCACTTTTCTGGAAGACTTTGTGTAGAATTGGTATTATTTCTTCCTTGAGTGTTTGGTCGAATTTGTCAGTGAAGCCACACTGCAGCTTCCTGTGTGGAAAGGTTTTTAACTACAGATGTAATTTCCTTCATGGACACAGAGCCATTCAGATCATCTCTGTCTGCTTGAGTGAGCTTTAGGAGTTTGTGTCCATTATATCAATGTCGAATTTATTGGCATAATGTTGTTCATGTTCTTCTCTTATTACCCTTTTCTATCAGTGGACTCTGCAGTGATTGTAGATGTCAAATCTCACATTTCTTGTTTTTTAATGGACTCTCTAAGGGGTCAGTGGCATCAAGGTGACTAGGTCACAGTGTTCTAGGCAGCGATGATAGGCTCAGTCCCTCCTGGTGGTCATTGTATCATTTGAAAGTTGAGCAGGACAAGTAGTGTCATCCCTTTTAGCAGATGGGCAAACTGAGGTCTGAAGAGGGACAGGGGTATGTCCAAGGTCACATGGTCAGTCCACAGCAGATCAGGGATTAGAGTTCAGGTCTCTGGCTCTGCATCCGGGACTCTCCCTGCTGAGTTGTGTAGATGGGCGTCAGGGAGGAGGTGACCTTGGGCAGGATGGAAGGAACGTGTTAGTCAGGGTGCCCAGCGTGCCTCACCACAGTGACTGCCCCAGTCTCCCAGCTGGTCTCCCTGCCTCCGTCCTCTCTAGCTCTGACTGTCCATTTCTGACTGCTGGTTAGCTTTTAAAACCGTGGATCTGGTCCTGTCACTCCCCCGTGACGCCTCATTTCCCTCAGAATATGGCCCAGACTCCCTGACGCAACTCCTAGGTCCTTCCTGATCTTGCCCCGCTTGTCTCTCCAGCCTCCTTCCCACTTGCCCCTCGGGCTGCTGTTCCATCAGAGGGAAGGTGTTAGGCTCAAGTAATAGAAGACTGAGCAACAGTGGTGTCTGCCAGGGTCTTTGGTAGAGAGGGGATTCTTCCAGGATTGGTTTATGGCTTAACGATGTCTTCAAGGACCCAGATTCTCTTCATCCTTCTGCTCAGAGTGTTGTCTCTGGGTGCTGGCCGCGGGTTTCTTTCTTACACTGCGATGCACACGGCAGAAAGTGAGCCTGTCTGTGGTCCTCCTTTTTCAGGGGGCATAACGCGCAGTTAAGTGCGCGTGCTCCGCTGTGGCGGCCCGGGGTTCACAGGTTCAGATCCCGGGTGCGCACCGACGCACCGCTTGTCAAGCCATGCTGTGGCAGCGTCCCACATAAAGCAGAGGAAGATGGGTATGGATGTTAGGCCAAGGCCAGTCTTCCTCAGCAAAAAAGAGGAGGATTGGCAATGGATGTTAGCTCAGGGCTAGTGTTCCTCACAAAAAAAGTACTTATTATTATTTGTTATGATGTGCGACACGAGCAAGTGGTTGGAAGTCCTAGCAGTAGAAAGGGGACATGGTGAGCCTGATTTTCCCTCCCCACCCCTCCCCTGTTGCCCAGCCTCTCCCCCCAAGCTTACCTGTGTGTCCTTCTGGAGGTTTCCATGGGTGTTGTTTCACTAGTGACGGACCATAAGTGACCCAAACGCCTGCTTGAAACAGCAGTCGCTGCTATTGCTCTTGTGTCTGAGAGGGGACTGGGTGGCTCGGCTCCATGTGTCCCAGGTCTCGGGGCCGGTTGGCTGGCCCAGGCGTGGTCTTCTCGTGGCCATGGCAGAGATGTGAGAGCAGCTGGAAAGCTTCGAGGCCCCGTCGGCCCTGCCCAGAGCTGGCTACTTCCTCCTCCTCCTGTTGCCAAACCAGTGTGTGTTCTAACCAAAGTCGAGGGTTGGGGTCTACCCTGTCCCCGACTCCTGGAAGGAACTGCAGAGTTGTAGGGCACAGGGCAAGGCCACAGGGAGGAGTAAGGAATTGGGGCAAAGCTGTGACCACCCCCCCAACTCATGTACAAGCAAAATTGCACATATATTCTTTTCTTAAAAAATGTGGATGGTAGCATACTGTACTCACAAGGCTGCGTTTCCCACTTAACATCACGTCTCTGCATTCATTCCATGTCAGGACAGACAGGTCCACCTCGTGCTTTCCAAAGGCCACCCCATTCCCTCTTGTCCCCTGTCGCATCATTGATTGCCCCTTACTGACGGGCATTCAGGCTGTTCAATCACTACAGCCAATGCTGCAACAAATGTTCTCGTGTGTACGTTGTTTTGCAAACACACGTGTGTCCAGCTGGGATACAGTCCCCAGAGTGGAATTGCTGGATCAACAATTGTCCATTTGAGACTCTGACCGATGTTGTCAAAATGCTAGCAGAGCCTCTTTATAGCTGAGAACACTGAGGCTCAGGCTAAATGTTGTGCCCAAGGGCTGTTCCTGGAGGCTGCCAGTCTCCCACCTCAACCCGCGTGTCCCACCACAGTGCCACGCGGGCGTCCTACTGCAGAGGTGCGGGCAGTGGGTAATAAGGGCAGGCAGACCATGAAGTCCTGGTGCCGCCCGGCCCTGGGAATGTCGTGAAGGAGAGACTGTGCTGCCTCAACTGGGCAGTTGGGGTGTGCCCGTGGGAGGAGGGTAGAAGAGGAGCTCTCCAGGGCCCTGCCCCCAGGCTAAGTTGTCTGGGGTGTGGCTCCATCTCCCTTTGGACCTTCTCTTCCCTTGCTCTCTTAGATCCAAAAGATGGTGCAGTTTTATATCCCCCAAACCACTAAGGCATGCCCCTGCCCATGCCATCACTTTGGGGGCCACATCCCGGTGCCTAGGGATCAGGCCGTGATGCCCTACTGGGTGCCCCAGGCCCTGAGGTCTCACAAGAAGGTAAGAGGGAGGCTTGCACAGCAGTGAGGCATGAGAGTGAGGGGCGGCCCTGTGGAGGGACCTGGAGATGAGGGGGGAAGTGTGCTGGATTCTTTCCCCACAGTAGCCTCCATTGGTGTTTGGGTTGGGGGGGGGGAGTGGTCCTCTGGAAGCCACGGCCGAGGGCAGCAGAGCACAGGAGGTGAGCGGTGCATGGGGGAGGGCCAGCTTGGGTGTCCTGGTGGGTGTCAGGAAGGTGGGTACACTGCTCTCTGAAGAGGGCATCCATCTCTCCTGCCCCCTTCTCCTCTCCTGCCTCCTCCTCCTCTCCCCTCTTCTCTACCTCACTCACCTCCCTTCCTCCTCCTTCCAACCCCCTCCTCCCTCACCCTGCCTCAGCCCCACCCAGCTCTCTCCACCTGTCTCTCTGTATCCTACACTCACAGCCCCCAGCCCTGACAGGCATGGAGGGAGGGTGCCGGGGAAGGACCAATGCTCCGAGTTTCTGTCCTCGCTCTTTGGCTCTGTCTGGCCACCTCCGTAGCTCTGGGTTCCAGGGTGGCAGTTGTAGGGAACGGTTGGCCAGGTGCAGCCTCCTCAGCCCCAGGGCCCCATCTCTCAGGTGCTTCCCAGTGTCCTGGCTGAAAGTTAGAGGCTTCCTTCTGTCTCCACTCACATTCCAGTTGCTGGTTTTTCATCATCGAGTAGCAAACTGTCCCCAGAATTAAGACCTAGAGGCCTTTTAAAAGGAGACCATGACTTGCATTCTCAGTTGGCCACAGACCCCTCTGGGGAAGTTTCCAGGCCCGATCACTGGCCCCCTTTGGTGGATCACCAGGGCTGACACATTCTATCCACATTCTTTCCTTTTAGGTGGTGAAAAGGCAGCAGAGTTTTAAAAGTGTCCAAGGTAACTCGGTGTACATGTGTCTCATCCTGTTTCTCTCCCCAAGGAAAGTGGGGTCTCATGAACATCATGATGGGGATGGGGAGACTTCTCTCATGCCCGGATGTCTGTCACACAAGACGGCCACAGACTGGTACACATACCACTTCTCCCACCCCTGCTCTCACCAGGCATCACTAATCACCCACCATCTCTTCTCATTGAGCCCAGAGAAGCCTCAAACTCTGCCAGTCTATCAGCATTGGCTCTCAGGATGAAGCCAACATGGAGTTAGATGGGATCTAAAGTATTTTTTCAAGCTCTAATTTTCTATAATTCATGACATAGTATCCGTGTGTGTGTGTTGTATAGACATAGCATATATATTTATATATTCACGGCAGAGTACATATTCCTACATTCATATATTCGTAACACATTATATGTTCATGACACCGTATTTGTACATATATTCATTTACAGCATATTCATACATTCATATGTTTGTGACCTAGTATATATATATTCATGTATTTATGACAGACATAGTACGTACTCACACACTCATATGTTCATGATGCAGCATATGTTCATGACAAAGTATATTCATATATTTATGTGTTTGTGACCCAGTATATATATATATATTCCTGTACTCCTGTCATAGTACACTAGGAGGTGGCATCTCCACTCTGACCATTAGTTTCTTCGTCTCTGAAATGAGTGGGTTGGACTTGCTTTTGAAGGCACTTTCCAAGGCTGATGGCTGACACGTCTGCTTTCTCTGCATTGCCTGTGAGCAAAGGGGTGCACATGTTTTGTAGGCTAGTATCACGTCCTCTCCTTGGCGTGTTGTGGCCAGACTGTCTAGTGAGTACTCCTTAGAATCTGGGAAGGAGGATATGGACAACGCTGAGAGGCTGAATGACTGACACCAGGGTTCCTTTGACCAGTGAGTGATTTGAGTGGCCTGCCCAGAGCCAAGGGACATGGAGCTGAGTGGGAGAGCGCTGGGGAAACAAATGCATGACTACCACCCAAGACGCCCACCTCTTCACGCTGCAGAAGATGCACTCAGCCATGCCCCGCATAATGATGTTTTGGTCAACGGCAGTGGTCGCATAAGATTAGCACTACATAGACTAGGTATGTAGGAGGCTATACCATCTAGGTTTGTGTAAGTACACTCTGCAATGTTCACACAAGGACGAAATCACCTAATGACACATTTCTCAGAACATATCCCCGTTGTTAAGCAATGCACGACTGTATTTTTTTCTTGATTATAAGAGTAACACAATTAGGAGGAGCGTAAATTGTCACAGCCTTTGTGGGGGGCAATTTGGAGGTCTCTATCAAATTATACAGTACATAATCTTTAATCCAGCAAGCCCACATCTGGGTAACATCTGTGGACACTCCCACACGTATACCTGTCTGTGGCAGTGATTTCCTTGGCAAAATGTTGGAAGCAACATAAGCGTCTCTCAGTGGGAGGATAGACACGAGTAAGGATGTATTTGAAATGTGGCACCTGCCACCTAGAGTACGTGGCTGTTAGAGACACAGAATGGACCCCCAGACACGTTGTGACGTGGAGCCCGTACAGTAGGACTCAGTGAGTGCACATTTAGAAAGACAAAGCCCTGTTTGGGGGTGGAGGAGGGCCGGGTGGTGTGTGTGAGCTGACAATCACAGGTGACCATGAGGGTGGGGAGGAGGGTAGGTGAAGAGAGACTGGGGGGTGGTGCATAAGGCACAAAACAGAAACAGTACGTTGGCTCGAGTTTCAGGTCCAAGAGCCAGAGATCACTTTATTAAAAAAACTTGGCAGTTGGACGAGAACAGTAGGAGAAACTGCTCTTCTAACTGATAATCACACATTTATGGGTTTATTTTTATTGGTTGTTTTGGCTTTGAATACTCTACACCCTTAAGAAAAGCTTAAAGCTCAGTTCATTGTTGAATCATAGGCATAACTGATGCATTGTTACAAACCAGTGTTAAATTTTACTCCAGCCGTTGTTTTATAGTTCAGGCAATTTACATTAATAATGTTTCAAACCTCAAACCCATTCCAGCCTGAAGGTGTTCACAGGACAGGGTCGGGAGTGTGGGTCTCCCTGGGACCACGAGAATTAGGATCCTTCTCTCCTCGAGCTTCACACGGAGTGATTTAAAAATATGAGACATTTCCCTTGGCCTCAAATCCAGCTGATTTCCTTTTTAAAGAGAAAATCCATATTTCTGATCTTGTATTTTCCTTGTAAAGAGGAAAATAAAAGCTCATATACTTTTTTCCTCTATGCTTGGGCAGTAGAATTTTTAATAAGGAAAATATATTTATTATGTTTTATGTTTAGTGCATGTTTATATTAGTATAATTAGAGTGTACATTTTACAGTAGTAGCATATTAATAGTGTAATAAAAATAAATAAGAGATATAGTATCAGGAGGGTCACATGTTGACCAAAGCAAGTTTTGAAAAAGCTACAGTGTCAAGGAAACCGACACATTGGAATCTCGTTTGTGGATGTGGTCGTTGATAACTTTTTATTATGGGAAATTTCAAATACTCAACTAAACCCCATGTTCCCATTAGTCAGCTTCAAGCCAGTCTGGTTTCATCTGAGCTTCACCCACTCCATCCCCCTCTCCCCCCAAAAAGAAGAGAAAGATTAGTATGGAGCAAATGCCAGCTGAATATCATATCCTTCCATCCATAAATATTTCAGTATGCAGCTCTAGAAGATAAAGACTCAAAGCACAGACATGAGGCCCCTGATTGCCCCGGAAATAACTAAACACCAGTGCTCTCTTCATCTTCATGGATGTCGGGCCAGTGTCCACACCCCCTGGGCTGTGAGCTGTCTTGCTGGGACACCTGGTTTCCTTGCCCTGGGTTCTGGAGGGTTCTCTTGTGTGTACAAACTTGGGAGTCACCCTGTCCCCACACCTCACCTGGGGCCTGACTTGCTTTCTCTGCCTAGAAACCCCCCTGGACTCGTGCTCCTGGTACAACCGCTGGCGGATCTGCTGCAACAGGCGTGTCCTCCTCAAGTGGCAGCAGCTCCAGGCCCTTCACCAGGACGAGCAGACGGCTGCGGGGAGGGGAGAAATCGCCCCAGACTGTATCCTGTCCCTCCTGCCCCTCAGCCTCAGCCTCCTGACTGTCCTCCAGGCTGTCCTGAGGGTTGTCGTGGCCATTCGGTGAGCAGGCCTGGGGTGGGGGCAGTGGTGGCCCCGGGCCTGTGTCACTCCCTGAGCTGCTTCGTCCAGGGGCTGGTGAAGTTTATTCTCGTTAAGGATGTGGGAGAACTTGGTTGTGGTTCAACAAAAGGGTGAGAGGTGGATGCGGCCATGAGTACTCTTATGTGGTTATCATTGCTCATTCCCGAAACAGGTATCTTCTTATCCCAGCAAACATACTGGGAGAGCAATCTAGATAGGTCAGAGCCCATGGGGGCAGCTGGGGCATCTTGGGCCCGCCAAGCTTTCTTTTTTTTTTTTTTAAAGATTTATTTATTTATTTATTTTTCCCCCAAAGCCCCAGCAGATAGTTGTCTGTCATAGCTGCACATCCTTCTAGTTGCTGTATGTGGGACACGGCCCCAGCATGGCCAGAGGAGCGGTGCGTCAGTGCGCACCCGGGATCCGAACCCGGGCCGCCGGCAGCACAGTGCGCGCACTTAACCGCCAAGCCACGGGGCCGGCCCCAAGCTTTCTTTCTTCAGCTCGTCCCTGTTCCCAAGGTCTGCAATTGCCCTGCCCCGAAGAGAAGACCCGTCCCAATTTCTGTAAGTTTCTGTCATGTAGGGGTGGAAAGTGGATCTTAGAGCCAGGTAGCCCAGCCAGCCCTCTCAGGTTGAGCACAACCTCAGGGGTGGGGACCTGCTGCCTCTCCCCCAGCCAGGCCCAGCCATCGAGGCTCCACTCAGAAAGCCCTTCCCTGCCTGGAACCCACTAGCCTGCCCAGGCCCCACATTTCTCACCTAGAACCCCACTCAGTCCCTCCCCCACTAGGCCTTCTGGGCGACCCCAAGGTCACAGCAGGGCTTCCCCTTACCTGGCTGCTCCCTTTAGTCTCCTCGGAAAAGCCTCCCTCCTCCTCCTCCTTCTCCAAAGCCCCAGTCTACCTCTACCCCACTCTCCAGTGCTTCCTGCTCAGTTCCTTCTGTCACCCTAAAAGTAGGTGCCTGTAAACACACACACACACACACACACACACACACACAGAAGATATGCAAATGTGTATCCATATGTACATACGCACAATTCGAATTTGCATAGATTGACTTTTTTGCTTTGTAATTGCTTCCTCCACGCAATTGTAAGAGGAATGTTCTAGAAAATGTCCAGTATCTGAACAGTTATAGGTGTCTTTTGCCCAGTTTTATAGTTGTTCACTGCAAGAGGTTAGCTCTCTCTGTCACTCTGCACGGCCAGAAGTGGAAGTGCCTCTCCCGTGCATCCTGCTGGCCCGTTCTCCTAGTGTTGGGCACTGCTGTCACTCCGACTCCCTGGGATTACAGACAATGCTGTGATGCACGTCTGCACATGCGTGTTGACGTGGGCCTGGGTCACAGCCTCTCTGGGGTGAGTGCTCCCCAGAAGGCGCCAGGCGGGGTCTGTCAGCTTTGCCGGGTCTGTGAACAGCAGTAGGGCAGCATCCTGAGATTTTCCATCTTCGCTTTTCATGAAGATTGGCCGTGAGCTGAGATCTGTGCCAGTCTTCCTCTATTTTGTACGTGGGATGCCGCCACCCCATGGCTTGACGAGCGGTGTGTAGTTCTGCACCCAGGATCCAAACTCGAGAACCCCAGGCAGTCAAACCGGAGCACGCGAACCCAACCACCACGCCACCAGGCCGGCCCTCATCTTTCTTTTGATGTTTGCCAACTCAATGTCAAGTTTAGTTGGACTCCCCTGTACCCAGTCTGGGAAGAGCAAAGAAGACACTTGACTGTAGACAGTACATGTTAAGTAGAGGGTCAGGGTAGGCCAAAAGGAAAATCGCTAATGACTTCATAGGAGGTGTTTGCTTCTGAGCCAGGCACTTAGGGCAGAGATGCAGGCACCAACCAGCTGCTGAGGAGAAATATCTTGTCTGGGTGGGGTGTATGTGGGGTGCCCTGTGAGAGCCTCCAAACTACGTGACCAGCTTATCTCAGGAGAAGCCGCTGGCTGCCCATCTGGCCTGGCAAAGTCTTGCTAGAGCTGCAGAGGCCCCGGGAGAGTGGGCGAGCTCAGAGCCTTCCCAGCAGGGAGCCCTGAAGAGCAGAGATTGAGTCAGGCACTTGCCTTCTTGATTGGACTTGCCGTAGTCTTCATTTCATCTGGTTCCCTTCACAGTTCTGCAGAGCTGGGATTCTCCAAAAGGAGAGAGTGGGCTCTGAGGGTCTGAGTGGCTCACCTGAGCTCCCACAGCTGGAAAGTGAGCTGGCTAAGACTGTGCCCTGGCATCACCTCACTGCACCCCTTTCCTGCTTGGTCTCCTCGGGGACTGAGTGCACTGGGGACCCGGATGACATCCCCCTCCACTGTGGGGGTACCCCCACCCCCACTCCATAGAGGATCCCCGACAGGCCCTATAAGGCGGCACAGTCTCAGATTGGGAGACAGTTCCTAGTAACTGCCTTTCTCTTTGCTTTCCAGCCAGTTTTTCTGAGTTTGAAGCTGGAATCTTCAGCTCCTATCGAGAACATCAACAAAAATGTCAGTCACAATCAAGGTCTTTAACGAGAGTTGTCAGGTCAGGAGGACCCTACGACAGCCCCTGTTTCTAAGATCAGATTCACACCCAAGATTCAATCCAAATTATTTATCGGCAGGTGACTCTTGGTCGTAGCGGAGTTGCTGCGAATGCGGGTGAGATTCTGTTAGGAGCGTGGTCAACAAATGTTATTGTGAAACTCTACGGTGGCCGCGTGTTTAACGATAACCTCTGATGCTCCTTCGTGAAGGAGGGACTTGTTCTCTACCTCCATGTCCCTGTGGAGGCGGCCGTCTCTGAGTTTCTCTTCCCTCTGCGAGGACAGCAGACCCACTGGGCGAGGGTCCTGAAATGGTTTCAGCACCTGCCTCAGGGGGTCTCACTTTAAGTAGCATAAAATTGTATGTGAATTGAGTTTTTTAAATTGAGATATCATTCACATACCATAAAATTCACCTTTTTAAAGTGTATGATTCAGTGGTTTTTAGTATATTTACAAGGTTGTACAACCATCACCGCTGTCTGATTCTGGACATTTTTCATCCCCCCCCAGAGAAACTTGGAACCTGTTATGCAGTCACTCCTTCCCTTCTCCTTCAGCCCCTGGAAACCACTCACTCACTTTCTGACTGTTCCCATTCTGGGCATTCCGTGTAAATGTGATCCTGTAATATGTGGTCTTTTATGTCTGGCTTCTTTCACTCAGCACAATATTTTCAAGCTTCACCCACATTTTAGCACATGTCAGTGGGTTATTCCTTTTCATGGCTGAGTAATATTCCACGACATGGATGGACCACATCATGTTTATCCATCGTCAGTTGGTGGACCTTTCAGTGGTTCCCACTTTTTGGCTGCTGTGACTAGTGCTGCTTTGAACATGTGTGTATGAGTTTTTATGTGGACGTGCTTTCACTTCTCTCGAGAATGCACCTGGGGATGCTGGGTCATACAGTAGCTCTGTTTAATGTCGTGAGGAGCTGCCTCAGTGTTCCACAGGAAAAAATTGCACCATTTTGTATTTTCCATTCCTGCAAGCAAGGCATGAGGGTTAGAATTTCTCCACAGCCTCACCAACACTTGTTATCTGATGTTTTGATTGTAGCCATCCTTGTTGGTGTGAAGTGGTATCTCATTGTAGTTCTGATTTGCATTTCCCTAATGACTAATGACATTGAACATCTTTTCTTGTGCTTATTGGCCATTTGTAGATCTTCTTTGGAGAAATGTCTGTTTAAACCCATTGCCTATATTTTAATTGGATTATCTATTTTTTAATTGTTGTTGTTGAGTTTGTGTTCTGTTGAGTTTGTTGTCCTTATCTGATATATCATTTGTAAATATTTTCTCCTATTCTGCAGGTTGCCTTTTCACTTTCTTGATGCTATCCTTTGAAGTACAAAAATTTTAAATTTCGATAAAATCTGATTTTCTATTTTTTCTTAGGTTGCTAGCATCTTAGGTCATATGGTCACATCTAAGAAACCATTGCCTAATCTAAGGTCACAAAGGTTTACCTATGTTTTCTCTTAAGAGATTTATAGTTTAGATCCTACATTTAGGTCTTTGATCTACTATTTTGAGTTAATTTTGTATATGGAATGAGGTAGGAGTCTGTATTCATTCTTTTGCTTATAGATATCCAATTGTCCCATATGACATTCTTGAAATGATAAAATGATAGAAATGGAGAACAGAGTAGAGTGCCAGGGATCCAGGAAGGGTTGAGGTGGGAGGGAACCGGGTGTGACTATCCAAGGGCACATGAGGCATCCTTGGGGTGATGGAAATAGCCTGTGTCGTGGCTTCATCAGTGTTTTGGTGTGATATACTATGGTTTTTCAAGATGTTACCAACTGGGGTAACCTGGATGGAGGGTAACACAGGATCTTTCTGTATTATTTCTTTTCCTTTTTGTGTGTGTGAAGAAGATTAGCCCTGAGCTAACATCCGAGCCCATCTTCCTCTACTTTATATGTGGGACGCCACCACAGCATGGCTTGATAAGTGGTGATTAGGTCCATGCCTGGGATCTGAACCCACGAACTCTGGGCTGCCAAAGTGAAGTGGCCAAACTTAAGCACTACGCCACTGGGCCAGCCCCTATGTTATTTCTTTTTTTCTTTTTTTTTCTTTTTTTTTCTTTTTTCTTTTTGTGTGTGTGTGTGTGTGAGGAAGGTCAGCCGTGAGCTAACATCCATGCTAATCCTCCTCTTTTTGCTGAGGAAGACCGGCTCTGAGCTAACATCTATTGCCAATCCTTCTCCTTTTTTTTTTTTTTATCCCCAAAGCCCCAGTAGATAGTTATACGTCATAGTTGCACATCCTTCTAGTTGCTGTATGTGGGACGCGGCCTCAGCGTGGCTGGAGAAGCGGTGCATTGGTGCGCGCCCAGGATCCGAACCCTGGCCGCCGGCAGCGGAGCGCATACACTTAACTGCTAAGCCACGGGGCTGG